CCTTTCGAACTGTTCATCCGAAGTCAATTTCCTAATCTGAGGCTAAGCAAAAGTCCCTTCCTTAAGTTTCGCTTCTGAAAGAGTTGGGAATTGCCCACATAGATACTTGAAACTGTCGCTATCTTTATCTAAGGCTTTTACAAACCGTTTCATCAAGCCCAGTTTTATGTAAAGTGGAGATAATTGGACTTTCTTTGTTTCAATCAAACTTTCACGTTCAGTGTTTTTCAGGCTGGTCCCCAAATTTTATTTCAAAATATGTGTAATACTTTTTTTGACGAATTCTGTAATGTTTTGTTTTTGTTTCTTTACAACAAATTTACCACAAATATAACAGAATATGTTTGGGTCATTCAAACAACCTCTTGTTGCCATAGCGACGAATAAATAATGTTGAAAAGAAAAAATGATGTCAGAGTGCACGCACAAATAAATACTATTCAGAAATGATACAACATGCGGCCTGTTAACCGTTTATATACTAGTGGTGTGTTTCTCATGGGTTCTAGAACGATCGATAAGACTCCCACGTCGCGATTGGTCTAGAGAAATCAATAGCCAATGGTTGTCAACATTTTAAGCATAACAAAATGTGACCCGATTTCATTGAAAATTATTCACTTATGTAAAAGTACATTTGATGTTTTGTGAAAAATCTGTACATGATGGAGAAAAATGGGTATCGTTTTCGGATTCAGCGTACAGGAATTACTGTAAAACATGTAAAAATTTCAAGACAATAAAACCATTGCAGGCCTATGTAATCGATCAGTAACACTAGTAACAGAGAAACAGATTATTTGACTAATAATTAATCACTCACTCACTGACTGGCTCACTGACAAACTGATTAACTGCCTCACCCCCACTCTCTAAATCTCACGAAAAGTCGAAACGTTAAGTTAAATCTGGACACCCAGGAAATTTCTAGACGCCACATATCATTATTGCCAAACTTTCCTCTTGCGAGCAAAATAAATGACCTAAATTAAAATGTTAAAACATAGCCTACAACAGTATTTAATAACAGCATGAAACTTCACGTAAAAATAAATGCATAAATTTTAGCTCGTGCTGTTGAAAGTGGGAAGCAGTTTACAGTAAAAATATAATCACACGTATTTTAAGTATTTTTGTTACACTCTCAACTATTAGACTGGGAAAAAATAAATTAAATCAGACGAATAAAAGTAATTAATTTATTCTTTTGCTATGCTTCCAATATCGATTTGTAATATAGACGTTCAAAATGTCTTTTATTTATATGTATACAGAAAGTACATGGTATAGTCAATGTATTAAGAATTGCTGTTCTAGGCTTGTTGTATTTACACTTTTGTATTGTCGTCTGGCAAGGGGGGGTGTTTAACCTCACGTAATGAGCGCATGGCTTCATATCTGGAAGTAATTCCAAAGTTTTAGAACAGTTTGATACAAATATACAGAGAAAGAGTAGTAGTCAGCGAATAATCCGTGCATGATTTTGTTAGTCTGTCTGTTTTGAGACAATTAGTTCAGTGATGTAAGTGTTTGGTTTGTGTTTATGACGAAATACTAGATACAGGATGAAATGCCATAGGGAAGGTTAGAAAGTATTAGAGAGATATTGTTTTATTATCGTCTACTGTGAAAATTACAACCATCATTAGTTACATGTAAAAAATGGAAATTCTAAACGTTATGATTTGTAGTCAAAGAAATAAAATGCTGTTGTTATCATTAAATGGACTGGACTTTGCATTCTTCTTTTTCTCGAATAATCCAAAAGAATCCGCTGAATAATATACACTATTACAACGTTACAATATAAGCAAATGCAATGATAAATGTTTGTACTTGGCTTCATTAATCCAATGTTTCACTAAACAGACAATGGTGAAAGTATTAAAGCTAAACCGATGAAATGTAACGGCTTAAGACACATAACGAAGTTTAGAAGTTGTACCTTTGGTTTTGCCAAATACTTACCTATTATATATTCAATATCTGCTTTCAAATTAACAAGATTCTCTATTTTGGAAGAGAAAACTGAAGAATCGTCGTTTTGTGGGTTACTATTCTGAGCACTAGACATCTCAGGCTGGGATGCTCCATTATTATCGACATCTGGCGGACTGGGAGAGAGAAGTTCATCAGGAAACCATAGTGAGGAGATGGTGGTCAACAGACTGACCTGGCGGTCAACATTATATAATCTTCCTGCTAGTAGAATCAATGCCAGAAACGACAAACCCTGGTCAAATGAATAAAATAATAATGATGAATTTAAAACTAGTAAAAAAACACGAAATATTTACTCATTTTTACATATAATTGCTATGGTTATTATTGTTACATTTATTAACAGTCAATCTGAAAACCGAGCGGGAGTACATTCACGGTTTATCTCATTTATTTCTGGTAATTTTGTGAACAGGGCCAGAAATTGGAGACATTTCATTTCCACCGTGTTTCAAGCAGAAATAATTATTAACTCATTACAAGTTCAATCTATAATATTTTTTAACGTAAAAACAGAACTGTAAAAGAATGTACCAACAAAAATATTATATTTAGTCTATATAAAGCTTTACAAATAATATCATTCAAAAACAGTGCCAAATTGCACAGCGTAACAGTGATGTATCAACAACTTGTTCTGTATACGGCTAGTACTTCGGTAATTCATTGAACACACGACTGCAGTTTGATAGCCATCTAGCTGGTAAGACATGAAACGTTTTAGGCTTAATAACGTGATGACACATTATAATGTGACAACTAATAATTTCAGCACTTTATAAATCAACTGAGGCCACAAAATTATGTTGACAGTGTTCTCTTAAAATAGCAAAGAAATTTGTTGCATTACCTTATAATCAACAACACTGAATAAGACTGAAATTTAAACAGAGGTAATAATTTAAAAAAATATAGCTGATGTTAAAGAATGATCTTGAAAATGTAACTGTAAGTATAAAATCGAAAGATAATGTTGTTGTTTTTTTGTTTTCAGTTATGGGTCTCCTTCTTCAATAACCGTTAAAATTTGTCTCACAAGCGTTTAATTGAGGACTAATTATATGAGGTTTTTAACGATAGCAAGACGAACGCTAGTAGCTTAATCGATAATAGTGTTAATTCTAAAATGAAACCTTTAAACTATACACCTGGAAAAAAGTTAAGCACCCCCAAACTATTTTTCAGGATTGCTTATTGAAAATAA